TTATTATTTGTAGTATTTATAGATAAGTTAGAATTTTCTCTACTAATAGACATTGGTGAAGGACCAATATCATCATTAACAGTATCAGATTCAAAGTGATCATATTCATGGTCACTAATTATTACCTCTACTTCACCAATATCACTCATTTTAGAAGAAATAATTAAAAAAAAAAAAGATTGATTATTAATTAATATCTATAAATTATAAATTAATAGGTGGAAGTATAAATTAGTAGGAAGTACAAAATTATACGAATTAATGGATAAAGTATAAAATAATAAAAAATATTTTATTTTTTTTATTCTAAGGAGAGAAGATAAGTATATTATAAAAAATAAAAATAAAAGTGAATTTACTTTATAAATCATCTGTCAGAACTCACAAACCCACAACCTACAAACCAAATTCTAAGAAAAGAAAGTAAGTATTATTATTATTAAAGAATTATTCTATCTTTACATATATCTGCCATGAACCTAGGAGAGGAGAAAAGGTAAATATATTATAAAAAACAAAAAACAAAAAGAACCTTTGTCTGTTAGAATATCTATAAACCCACAAACCTACAAATCCGATTTTGAGGAGAGAAGGTAAGTATTATTATTATTAAAGAATTATACTACCTTTTATACGTCTGCTACAAACCTAGAAGAGGAGAGAAGAGAAGGTAAGGTAAGTATATTATAAAAAAAACAAAAAACAAAAAGAACCTACTTCATAAATCATCTGTTAGAACACCCACGAACCCACAAACCTACAAACTCGATTTTGAAAAAAAAAGGTAAGTATTATTATTATTAAAACCTTTCATACATCCGTCACGAATTTAGGAGAGAAGAGAAGAAAAGAGAAGGTAAGTATACTATAAAAAATAAAAAACAAAAAGAGCCTACCTTATAAATTATCTAATAGAACCCCTTACAAATTTACGAACTTACAAGTCTGATTTTAAGGAGAGAAGAGAAAGTAAGTATACTATAAAAAATCCAAGAAGACATGTTGTCACAAACTTGGAAAAGAAGAGAAAGTAAGTATTTATTTATAAAGAATAAAAAAAAATAAAGAATTAAAAATAAAATATACCTTTACGTATCTGTCACGATTCTAAGATAATGCAGTTATAAAACTTCATGAACTTGATTTCGAGAAGGCATGCTGCCACAAACCTGGAAAAGAATAGAAGATAAGTATTTATTTATAAAAATAAAAAATAAAATGTACCTTTGCGCAGCCGTCGTGATTCCAAATAACTATAAACTCCACGAATCCCACAAACTCAATTCTAAGATCTTTATACATGTCCGCCATGAACTTAAAAAAAGAGAAAGTAAATATTTATTTATTTATAAAATAAAAAATATAAGAATAAAAAATCAAACTTACCTTTGCCCATCTGTTACAATTTCAAAAAGTCATAGCTGTAATAAAAAATATTTTTTATTAATTTAAAAAAAAAATAAATCTATTTTTAAAAACTGTAGTTACAAAAAAAAATAATTAACATTAATATCCGTAGTTACAAATAAAAATATTAATGTTAATATTTTTTTTAAAAAAAAATTTTTTAATAGTTCTGATGAATAAATCAACCAATCAGAGTGTTGCACGTGTTTAATTTGATCTGAATTTACAAACTGAATTGATAAACCAGATCAAATAAAATATCACATGGATGATTCAGTTTCGAAAGTTTCAACCAGGTCACCTGCGATATCTGGATGATACTATACCTGCCACCTAAATTCAAAATCCAAATGCTGAAATCTCAAATGTCAAAATCCCAAATCCCAAATTTCAAATTATGATTAGTATTTTTTGCTGAAATCCCAAATCCCAAATCACAAATACTAGTAATATGGGATTTGGGCAACATATATAGATAAAATCAGATTATATAAATCCAGTTCTAAGCCCTATTCATATATAATATACCTACTACTCATTTTATCAAGGTTTCATATACAAAAATGAAATTGAACATATATATCTAGTCTTTAAGTAAACTAAAATGATCCACTTCAAATAATTGATAAGTTCCCGACAATCACATAAAATTGATTCAATTAATTTCTAGACACATGACATCAACAATGAGGTTTTACATTATTACATATCTTGGTAATCTAATATTGTAAAGGAGAGTTTGATTTTATAAGCAGTTGCACCATATATTCGAAGGCTAATATAAATCTGTCTTCATTCAATAGCTTCGGAAATTATAATATAATTAAATAATTGTATCATATTTCTTATGTTCTTTTTATCATCATCATTAATTTTTTCCTTTATTACTTCCGGTTTGGTTCCTTCTACATAAATAAGTTAATAATTTGAGATATCATTTAAAAATCTAATACCATTCGTCATTGACTTAAATTTTTTCTGCAAACTAATTTCATCTCTAATTAAATCATGTGAAATAAGGTAAGCGAATTTTAATTAGTTTTATAAAACCAGGAAGAAATAAAAGAACAAAATTAATTTCAACTTACAAAATATAATTTATTTTTGAAAATATCCACAAGGTATAGTTAATTAAGGAATGTATAAATTGGTTGAAGTGAGGTCTTTCTAATACCATCATATCTCTTAATGGATTAAAAAAATCTAAAGAAAAGGCCTTTATGCTATACACAATAGATATTTGTAATTCATTATAATTTTGATTAAACTAAATTTTACTTACAAACTTTCAACTTACAATCTTCCTAAAGTTTCCTTTAAAAGTTACTTGACGTCTCTGAGTAATTTAGAATCTTTTTCATTATTTGTTATACTCCTAATTACATTACACCAACCTTCTTTTTCATGATCAGAATTAAAAAAATCTATAAGGAAATAATGTATTTTGTTCGTAATATAATCATTATCTATTGGATCAAAAATTTCATGTAAATCTGTTCTTACAATTCCTGATCCAAAATAAAGAAGAGTTTTGAATGTAGCCGGAGGTCCATGACAAGAAAATTCTTAAATTTTGAACAATATATTTCTAGAATATTTTGTTTAGTCTAAGTTACTGATATATCGTAATCAAAAATATCATGAATAATTATCTATAAAAAAACAAACTAAATTAATATTTTTTTTATCATATCCATGTGTATTTAAAAAAAAAGATGCAAATCTTATTTTCATCTATGCATTTTTCATTTATATTACTACTGTTGGCACCTTCCTCTTTTTTGTCATTGACGTTTCTATTATCACTTTCCTCATCATCATCTTGAATATCGATATTGCCGATGTCCAATCCCTTTTCAGTTGCCATTTTCTCTTCATCCTTATCTATTGTTACTTCCTCAAACAATTCACAATAATCTGGTATAGCCCTCCCACTTCTCGTATAATGTTGTTTTATCGTATCCTAGTGGTAGAATCTATTTAAGACTTATTTGGATAGGTAGTTTAATAAACAGATAATTTTTCTGAATAAACAAATATCCGTTCAGATCTGTGAATTATCTAAACTAATTTGATTTAAATATTTGATAAAAAAAAATCTTTTAAATAGAATCGGTTGAATTGAATAGAAGTGAATGTATTCGGGTAAGCGTGTTTTTATATTATTTCTATTTAATTTTATTTAATTAAAAAAAAATAAAATTAAACATAAAATATAAAAAAAATATTTATATTAGGAATATAGATTAGTTGGATAGATAATGGATGATAATGTATGGTGAAGGAAGGTATTTATTTTTATTTTTTTAAAAAAAAATTAAAATAAAAAAAAAAAAACAATATTTACCTCTTCTCTCTTTTTAAAAATCTAGATGAGTATATGGTCACAAAATATAAACTAAAAAATTTATTATATGATAAAATCTGAAAGTAGACAGAATAATAAAGGAGATATCCATCTATCGTCAAATGTATCTATTTGTCGTCGAATATATCTATCTATTATTGAAGGTATTTATTTTTATTTTTTTTTAAAAAAAAAATGATACTTGTCTCTTCTCTCCTTTAGGAATACGAATTATACGTGTTACCCAAATCCCAAATTATTTGGGATTTGGGATGCCAAAATTCCAAATTACTAGTATTTGAGATTTGGGATTTGGAATTTCAGCAAAAAATACTAATCATAATTTGGAATTTGGGATTTGGGATTTTGGCATTTGGGATTTTGGCATTTGGAT